AGTAAAATAATCTTTTTAATGTATATAATTTTCAACATAATAAATATATACATAAATATGTAAATTTTTAAAAATAGTTTTTAAAAATTATACGTTTAGCAATTAAGATTAGAAAATAATAAATTCGATTAAACGTTCTTCTTTATATTTATTTTATATTATTTAGTATGTTTCCATAAGAATGGACGAGATGAATTTATTCGATGATACGTCCAAAGCAAAGACAAACGTTAATGGTTATCACCGCGAAATATCAGCTTAACTTATATGTTTCAAATACTGCCAGAGGCGAGGATATAGACACGCGCGCCGTTAATCTGCGAACATGAGCCGTTATTTCACGAGAATTTGTCAAGTCTTCCGCACTCTCTCTCCGCACTCACGATAGACCGCGTCGCTAATTGGATGCAAGATACGAAGCTACGTTTCACTAGGACGAATCCATTAATATCGTCTTCGACAGATGGGCTCGCGCGCAAACCCGGTGGTCCGATGAGGGAGGATTTCTCGCGTCGTCATTAATCACTGAAACAGGAACCACGGTACTCAGGTCGCGCTTAGAAAGCGCCTGGTTTCTCGCAGAAATCGACGCATCATCAAACTCGCGGTTTTCATTCCATCATTTGTAAATTAAATGATATGTTGTAATAAACAGTGACAATTCGGATATTATCCGGAGGAATGATTCGCACAATCATTTGAGCTTGTTCACGAATCTATGGACCCGAGCTCAACATGCTGGACATTCACGTACGTCTACATATTCATGTATATATGAATGTGTAGGTACCAATGAATAAATTTATTTATTGGCGATACATTGGTTAAACGTATTAGGAATATAATGAGCTAATATTGATCCAATATTTGATTACTGTTGTGCTACTTGTAGGATGTATATGCTCTTTTGATAAGTGATAAACATACAATAAACAATTGAGAAGAAGAAATAGAAATATAAAAACGTAAATTGAAAATCATATGTGATAAAGATCTATTATAGATACATGTGTTCAAAAAATTCATTAAGCTGAAAATTTATTAAGCTAAAAATTAGAAAAGATCATAATTTACAACAAATTCTACATTTAGCATGTAAAATGTTGTTCGAACACAAATAAAGAAAGAAGAACAGAATATAATATATAATTTATATTCGATCAAAACGGATCTTGGTATCCAATAATATTTTTATATGAATTTTACAATTATTAGTTGTAAAACAAACTACACATTGATATTTATAGATCTTGAAACACAATTCTAAATTGAAACTGTACAATTGAAACATATATTATACGACTTTTCAAGCCTATATGTTGTTAAAAATGCACGAGACTCGATATATTCTATACACTCTTTTTAAATTTTTTTAAAGTGAATCTTACTGCAAAAGAACGAAATCCTACTCCAAAGAATTTAGAGAGTATATGCGTGTTGAAGTCTCTTATAATTGGTATTCTGTTTATATTATACTCGATACACTGCTAGTAAATTTCCACAACTTCTATATTAAATTTTCACAATTGAGTAACATAAATAATACGTTAATGTTAAATAAAGTTAAATAAACGATTCTTTTTTTTTGTAGAACATGGAAATATTAAATAATGATAAATTATTATGAGAAAAGAGAGAGAGATAGGTGATGTAAAAATATTATACGTTATTATCAATTATTATTATATAAAAACTTACAAAATTAGAATTTTCCTGCTATAAAATTTATCTTTTTATAAGATAAATTTATAAGATATACTTTATATTTGAATGACAGAATACCATTTGTAGATAAACCTTTCCTTTACTCGAATAAAGTGAATCGTCATGCCATCTACTGTATAATTGATATAGCCTAAAGAATTTAAGAGCTGTTAATACAAATATTGTGTTAGTTATTCTCTTTTTATAAATTTTTGCCAGCAGAAAACATATATTTGCAATTAAAGATTTTTCAAGTATTACTTTATATCATACAAAGGCAATTTGTGTATCAGGAAAGGAAAATAGAAAAATGTAAAGAGTTACACATATTTGTAATGGAAGATAATAATAATAATAATAATAATAGAATATTTATTTATTCTTAATGTAATTGCTTGTATAATATAAATAGACGCTCTTATACATTGAGTAAGGATTTATAAGTATATTATTAGACTAATTATGTAGAAAAAATAATTTATAGAAAAATTGTATAATCTATAAAATGCTCAGAATAAGTGGCCATGTAAAAGACCCAACACGAATTTTTAATTAACATGATGATATTATTATATTATTATTTTGATTTGCTTATTCAATGAGATTCTAAGCTTTTTATGCATATGCGGTGATTTGGACGGATGTTTTAAAAGGCCTTTCTCAGTCTTCCGTTATAAACAAATAAACAATCTCAAATGAAATAAACAATCTCATCGACTAACAAATTGTACACTATTCAAACTTAAGTAGAAAAGTTCCATGATCAATGTTAATTGAATATTATGTGAATATAAAAAATATAATTAGATTTGTCACAGTCTAAAGTCTATTTTAAAATTTCTAAAAACGTTATTAAAGATAAATATATAATACTATCAAAAATATTATTGTATTAAAAATATATAAAAATTTTTAAGGCTAATTATAACAATTAAAATATGATATCGATCAAAAAATGAATTTTGCTTTTTTAGACTGTTGACATTTTTCGAAATTTTTGTATTAAAACGACTGAAGAACTTTGATTGATGATTCTTAACAAATTCATACGTTCTTACGTAAAGTTACGTTTTACAAATAAATGGAAATAGAGATTCTTCCTTACTTTGGTTGCAATAGGTGTGTACATATTGTTTTCGCATTGTGCTTTCTTTTAAGGCCACAAAAGTTCTATGTTTGGAGATTGCAGCTTTGCAAAAATTCTGTACATCGACAAAACAACCAGCCAACAATATATCTGCAAAAAACATAAAAGATATGATACTGAAAATAATTCAGATAATATATTAAAAAACAAAATACACTTACATTGTAAGACATCCAAAGCCAATTGCATAATGTCGCAAATACAGAGTCCAACTAAAATAAAAACATAAAGAAATGATATGATTGCGAGCATTAAAACAATCATCGCCAAAATAAAGAAAAGGAGCTCACATAAATATAATAACCGCCTAAAAGCCACAGTCCAAAGGCTAATTGGAATAAACAAACGATGAACCATCCAACGAGCCATGGCAATAACCATCCACGTACACCTTCTTTTACGCCGTAAACCATTAACAAGGCGCATATGATTAACAGAAGCAGATAGAAGATGAGGAAGCCTCCGACAACTTGCATAGCTAAAAATTGCAAGCGTCTCTTATTGTTTTTAATAGAATGCTAAGTACGCTATAAAAGTTAAAAGTTCATAAACTAAAATTAAGCAATAAGTTTATAAATATTAATACTCTTATAGAAATTATATTCTTACAGAAATACTAATCAATACTGAGAGACAGTAATTAATCCTGCAATAGCACACATATTTTTAGTATTTTAAAGACACACATGGATCATTCTGGAAAAATTCTGTAAAAATTTACACATGTTTAAGATCCCTACTAAATTATTCTGCTATTCTACATTTAAAAAAAAGTTTTAAAAATTATAAAAATTATGCAAGTATAAGAACTGTTAGAAATGGCTTGGACACGAATGATCCATTGGATGGTTAATTACTTATTTTGAGTATGAAAAGCATTTATTTAGTACTTTTAATACTCCAAATAACTATAATAATTAATTCTTTAGTAATAAATTGGCCAATATTAAATTATAGTTAATATTGGATTTCTAATAGTAAACCTATAATTAAGATTAAAGGTATAAATAATTTCTGCTTGAATATACTATACACATCTTTGAAAAAGGAGATAAAAAGAAAAAGTAAATTTGGTTAACTTAATTATATATCTATTGCAACAATCAGGAAAATCAGGGAAAATGCACCGTTATAAATTTAAATAATTTTTTATAAAAGATTACAAACCACTTATTTTAATAGCTTTAATAATTTTAGTTAATATGATAATTACATAGTACATATTCTTCTTCAAAATATTACATATTACATTGTAATATTAGGAATATTAGAAATAAAATTATATTATAATACTTATGATTAGATAATGCAGAAGATTTTTGGCTTCGTTTAAACAAATAATTATTGAATTACTTTTGCTATTTGCTTTATATTCAAGAATTAGCTTCGTATTAAACAGAAAGAAAATTCGAATTTCGTTGATCTGAATACGTCAATAAATAGTCGCATATATTTGTCAATAGATGTTTTAACAATTTTTAATCATATTATTTACTTAATTTTGCAAATATTAAATATCACTTTTAATTTCAAATTGTAATTTGCAATTGTCTCATATTTTGTATTATTGCTTAAAAAAAGTATGAATTAATATCTATCATACTTTAATATAATTAATTAAACTAATAACAAGTAATTAAATATTTTTTACGTGAGTCATTTATAATAAGTCAAATATTATAGTTTTAATAATTTTCGTATAAACCCGAGAAATAATACATTAGTTTAGCTTTCTAAAATTTATATTTGTTTTTGCAACATTATTATTATACATCAATATCATACTTACATCCCCTTACATCAGCTTCGAATAACGGATTATACAGCTGCGTGGAATCGCCACCAGCCAGTTGATAGGATATTAGCGTAATAAGCACTATACTAATCGCCTGCAAGGAAATAATTATTGATTATACTTGTACAGTCAATTTCAAGATGTTAAAATAATATTGTTAGATGTACTTTAACATTGTTATACTGTGATTTTATAGAATTTCTTAGTCAATTAAAAGACACTCACCACTGTGTAAAACGCTATAGCTTTGCAGCCGGTTTTCACACTATTTGACCAAATACATGGGGTCCAATAAGATTCCACGATCGCCATTGTTTACACTGAAATAAAAATTCGAATATGAGAAAACGTAAAGCGCGCTTTAATTACATTGATCACGATGACGTTATTGAGCGACAGTCGCAAAACTTGGGCGTCGACGCGCATCAGAGTTACCAACGTAAACACATATTAAGGGAATTAAAAGTAAAAGCTTTATCGAGATTAAAACGAAATTGTGTCGATGTGCAAAATTAATACCACACCCGAAAAATCGCGTCAATATTCGTTTACAACACTTTCTCAAACGCTGATGTCGAAAATGCGTCAAAAGTACGCGGATAATTAATAGCGTTGCAGGCTCATGTTACAAGAAGCGGAATGATTCAAGCACGTACATTGAATTTTGTTTATGTAAAATTGCCAAGCATGTATAGGAAACTTAAAATACAATCACAATTTTTAAATGAGACACAGCACTTGTCGTTTGGCGCGATATTGATGTATTGAATACCAATCGCGCGTTTTCCATTGCCATGGCACACGATGCGACGATGCATTAAATTCATATCGAACAGTATCAAGTCGTTTTCAAACATCGTGCTTTTTTCGATTGTACTTACGATTTCTTGGAGGTATAAGTAAGAAAAATAATTTCAGTCGAATTTTTTCCGCAAACGTCGACTTCCACCACGATCACCAAGATTCGAATGCTCGAATCGCCTCGGAATAACAGCAGAATTGACGAACAGTGCCATACACGCGTCGATGGACGTACGGTTAATGGCGTCGTGTTCATCATTGGAGACCCCTTCCACTTTACGAACAGGTCACGATGCCGGCTGTGTCCTTTTCGCAAAGCCTATGTAACGTCTACCTGTGCTTCGAATAATTGGCTAAGATTGTCATGTAGTATAATACCAATAAACCAATAATTACAAATATTTGTATAACTAGTTATTAGGAAGATTTGCAAAATATTAATATATTTTTGAATATTATTCTTGATAAAATTCTAAGTTCTTATTTATTATTTGTATATTAACACTTTCGGTTTACAAAAAGTTTGTATTTTATAATTAATTTTTAATCATAGAAGAATTTTTACTCTGTGGAATCATATCTATTGCTTTTTTTCTCTTTTTTTTTACAAATTCTATATTTTTTTATTCTATATTTATTATACAAAATCTCAATATATCAAAATAGAGAAATTTATAAATATATTTTTAGTAAAGTATATAAAAATGATTTGAACAAATCTAATCTTATGTTTTATAAAAATGGTGAGCATTATCTTTTTTTTTATCAATTCGTCAATTTAATATAAGGTCATATCGATATGATAATAAATTGAATCAATCTACCAGTTAGTGACACAGTGCGACTAATGGATGAAACGTAACTAGAAATCGTTGTACTATAGTGTTTGGCGCCAGTTTTAAAACGTGTGTCGTCATCATAGTCTTCTTGATATGATCGTATTTATATATTATATATA